CAAGGCAACACTATGATAGATGAAAAAAGACTGAAGCTGTCAATGACTTTATCTTACTTGAATCCATAATCAATACACTTGGTACCAGCAGTCAGAAGATGAGGAGGTGCACTGCCCTGGGAAAGTCTATAGTGAGGGATCTCTAAATTATTGAGGAACAATGATATCAGTTTGAGGACTATGGAATGTCTGGTTCAGGCCATGGTCTTTTAAGTCACTGCTATGCATTGAGAGCTGAACAGTGACTAAGGATGACTGAAAAACTGATGCCTTTGACCTGTAGTGTTGGAGAAGAATATTTAAAGATTAAGTGGACTACCAAAACAAGTAGGCATGTCTTGGAGAAGGTATAGCCAGAGTGCTCCTTGGAGCAAAAGATGGTAAACTTTAGATCACATACGCTGGGTATGTTGTTAGAAGAAGATACTCCTTGGAATGCGAGAAGGACACCAGAGAAGAGGAAGACATTAAACCAGGTAGTTTTAAATAATGACTGCAGCAATGGCCTTACATGTATCAGAAAATGTGAGACCGGCACAGGATAGAATAGGGATCAGATCTGTTGTTCTCAGGGTCGCTATGAATCATACTTGACTTGATGGCACCTACCAACAACATACCACTAGTGGGAATATATCCTAAAGAAATAAGAACCATGAAATAAACATATGTATTCATACCTATGTTTATTGCAGCATTATTCATAAGAGTGAAGAGATGGATACAGCCCAAGTGTATATTAGATAGAAAATGTGTAGTACATTCACACAACAGAATATTATGCAGCACTGAAAATAGAAAACCGTAGAAATAAAAATAAGAAAACACTATGTAACACAGATGAATCTGAAAGATATCACTGGGAGTGATATCTAAGTCACAAAAGGACAAATACTGCATAAGACCACTGTTCTAAAAACAAAAAGGACAAAGGGCAGAGGGTGAACAAGAAAAGAATGGATAGATAATGACCACCACAATGGATTAGGTGAAAGGAAGGACTATCTGAATAGACAGAAGATTTGACATTACATGTATGACAGTTAATAATCTGGAATAAGACATGCATTATAAGCGAATTGGGGAAGGAGAAGGGAGGAAAATGTGCATCCATGACAGAATGAAAGTATATTACTTTCACTAACATCACAATTTAAAAAAAATTTACCTTCAATGTGTTTGCCCTATCCATCAAAATATTATTAGTTGATTTGGGCTTTTTTCTCCAATTTCTTTTCAATGGTCAAGAATTGCTTTACCATGAAGAATTAATAATGAATACAAAAGCCATTTACAAGAAAATATTTAATTGGGAAAAAATGTTCTTTTCAAAAATTTTAAACTGATTAAAATATTTACAATTGAGATTGACTCAGAATGTCTAACTTCCACCACTGTTTCATTTCTTTCCCCTAAAGGTTAAGGTTTATCATCCTATTATCTTCTTATGAATCTCTACACCTTCTTTTGCACACCGCTTTCTACCCCACAATATATTCTGGAAATCACTCATGGTAATACAGAAAGATTTTCATGTTCTTTTTACATGTATATTTATTCTAATCTTAAAAGAACATTTCAAGCTTTTCCTTCCAATAATAATATCACAATAAATATCCTTGCGTGTGTACATCATAAGTAGCCCTGAGTTCAATCTCAGATCTTACCTAACACAGTTTGATTCCCTTCAAATAATTAAGTTCTTCTACCTAGGTTATTATAATGCAGTCATCCATCAGTGATTCTCATACACATGTTCTTTACCTAAGCAATTGCTGAACTTTCTTAGACTGTTCATTTAAAGAATTTTTGCATGGGGATCACTTTTTAGCCTTTTCTCACCTTAATCTGAGTTCTAGTTTTTTAATGCCAAGACTCTGAATATTCCCTTACCCAGCTTTTCAGTGTCTTAACTAGTCTCTTCTGTACTTCCAAAACCCTCAACTGGATGGATTGTAATAGTGACTGATGCAATAAGCTGGAGTATATCAGAAACGATGAGCATGGCACAGGATAGTGGATAGGGTTCAGATCTGTTGTTCATAGGGTCTTTATGAGTTGTATTCAACTTGAGGGCACATGCCTGTTACACACTATACTCTGTGGTTCATGTCACCCACACTCTCAAGTCCATATGCTGCCTGTGAACAACATCCATAACAATGTTTTCAACCTCTGTTCCACAAAGATACTTTACTGCTGCATCAACAAAGGAGTTCTATTTTCATTCTGTATCTAATTCCACTGGGGGAAAAGTACAAAAGTCATTGACCTTTATCATCAATCCCATAGAGTCTATAATCTAACTTTTGTCTGGAAATTCAACCTTTCTGCCTTCTCTTTATAAATGCAATCAGGTATTCAGTAATACTTACCAAGAATCTAGAATTTACCACATATACTATAAATCAATTTTAAAAAGACATTGTCCTCACCTTCATAAATTTTATAGGCTTTGTACAGATAGATCAGCAATTAAAAGTCTGCTAAACTCTACTAAGAAAAAAAATTTCTACATGTAGCAGAAGTGAGCACATTATACAATCCTCAGAGTCACAGCATAGAAAAGAATAAACAGTTTCCAACTGAGATGACTGCAGGGGACAGTCCAATAATCTCAGGGGTAAAGCCAGTTTTATCTAGAGCAAGACTGGGAAACAAGTGTGGGGAAAAGTTAGAAGATTAAGATTTTGTTAATCCTGGGCCAAATTCCAAAGGTCCCAGTGAGAAGGTTCAAGAGAAAAAAGAATGGTATAAATTTTGGCTGCAGACAGAAAGCATAGAATTCATATTTTGAGTTATAAGTAGATTAGCAGAGAAACCTGTGAGGGATCACAGATTTCCTTAATGATCTACAAGGTTGCAAGCAAATTAGTTGAAGTAGGCAAGATGTGAGGAGTGACAACTCGAGTTTGTCAAGATCCATCTGTCACATAAAAAGTTCTTCTGATGGCATTTCTGGTGAATAAAGAGACTCTGTGTCTCTGTAAGCAGCCATTTGTGGCTTCGGTTGATTTCTTGAATTGTAAAGAAACTGTTCAGGCTGTGGGTTCAAGCATATAGACTCCAGGTCCTGGAAACCTTCTGTGTTTGTAGATATGAGAATTTTCCAAACATAAACTATAGGGCATGTTTCTTACCATATTTCAAAACCTGTGGTGTGCTATTTAGAAAGCATATGTTTAATAAGTTGTTCTAGTTTCTGATCCAACAGAGTGTGGAAATTATTGAACAATATCACTGATATCACATGAAAGCCAGAATTGGCTAAAGATAATTCAAAAACGACTGGAACAGAACATCAACAGAAAACTACCAGAAGTGCAGGCTGAGTTTAGAAGAGGCCATGGTAGTAGGGATATTGTAGATAATGTTAGATAGATCTTGCCTGGAAGCAGACACACCAGAGGAATGTCTATTTTTGTTTCATTGACTATGCAAAGGCATTTGACTGTGCGGACCACAACAAACTGGGGCTAACTCTAAGAAGAATGGGAATCCCAGAACACTTAATCGTGCTTATGAGAAACCTAGGACGAGGAGGCAGTCATCAGAACAGAGCAAGGGAACAATGTAAGGTACAAAATTGGGAATGGCATACACCAAGGGTGCATCCTAGCTTCATATCTTTTCAATGTATATGCAGAACAGATTATCCAGGAGTCTGGGTTCTATGAGGAGAAATGCAGCATCAGACCTGGAGGAAGACTCATCAACAATATCCGTTATGCAGATGACACAACCCTGCTTGCTGAGACTGAAAAGGACCTAAAGTGCTTGCTGCAGAAGGCCAAGGACTACAGCCTTCAATTCAATATGGA